CTGGCCCGTGGGCCGACCCGACTCAGGCCTACCCCTACCCATCTCGTTCATTCGCCCTTTATGCTCACCTAGTTCCTCTTCTCAGTCCCAATGATTTGAATCTCTGTCTGTAAGCTCCACCAGTTCCCTCAGTTTTGAAAAAATTTCTCCATAGAATTAAATCTTCATTCCAATTCATGTTTGATTATGAACAACGATCAAACCCAATAATAACAACCCAATTCATATTCATCTTGATTCTCAACAATCCCAGAAGAACCCATTCATAGTCAATCTTCATTTACAGTCCCTTACTTTGGAGCTTGAGTGCAGCGACCCAGGGGGACTTTGAGAAGGTGGTTGGCTGGTGCTGGGGGAGGTCCAGTGAGGTTTGGCTGTGGGAGGAAGGCAGGAGAGAGAATGAGAAAAAAGAGGGGTGCAAGGCATACAAGCAACTTCTCAAGAGGGCGGAACCAATTTTCCCAGCTAAAAAATTAGCTCACGTGCAAGCACGTGAGGGGTTCATGCCAGATTTCTCGCCGCCGACAAGCAAATTGGTGTTATTTGTGAAGTTGGTCAAAATAAAATACCTTAATTCCATCGCAATGAATTAAAATACCAGGGAATCGAAATTAATACCAATCTGGTAATATAGCCTTTATATGTGTCTAGATAGATATACATTTGTTCCTCAGAAGAACAAATGCCAGGTCAGTACAAATCATGGAACAGAAACCACTTTTATATGAACTCTCTAAATGCATAGGAAATAAGAATCTAACTGATAATCATCCAATCTGGCTAGAGATAATTACAGATTTGAATTATGGGATTGGAATGAGGGGCTTACCTTGTGTCTCAAAATGGTCAATTCTAGCCACATTCTCAGAAAAATAACATGAAAAGCAAACCATGCACCAAATTGCTCAACTTTGTAAAAGGACCAGCTTTATTTAGCATAATAAATTTTCAGCGGGTATTTAAATCAAGGTATAAAGTTGAAATCACATATTAGATAATCAAACATGAATACAATATATGATCAAAGCCTTTAGTTCCTACTAGATTAAAAAACAAATGTAAGTAAAGAAATTAAGAGCAGATAATCCAAGTTAGAATCTAACTTTAGGCATAACAAGATGATTTCACGTTGAAATGCTTACTCAGGTAAGAAAATATAATCATAGATGAGTATTTAAATCAAGGTATAAAGTCGAAGCACTGTTTATATAATCAAATATGTATGCAACATATGATCAGAGCTGTTAATTCCTAAGAAAGAACTAAAGGAACTTACAAGTGCAAACAATCTAGTTAGGGATAAATTTACTATCAGGCATTACAAGATGGTTTCACAATAAAATGATAGCAGATTCAAGCAAGGAAATACTGATTTGAAAATCCCAAATTCAAAAGCCTAACCTGATTGAATGACTGACACCATGCTGACCCCTCCACATCCCAAGTGACCAACATACCCCAATAATTGAATTCCATAAAGTTAGCAAAAAAAACTCATAACCTGTGGATCCAGTGAACTCAGTATCTTCAACCACATATTGACATACTGAATTCACCAATAGTCGCCGCACGAGCACTCTCTGTCTTTAAATTGATGAAACCGCTTTATATCTCTAAGTATAATTACCCTCCTGTATAACTTACTAACAAGCTTCATAAGAGAATGACAATCTCCACACACTCTTAAATTCTTCACTATGGTAATCTCCTCCCCTTCCACAGTGCTCAACAGTCCTAAAGCAAGTGCCAGTTTCTCACTATGCCATCCTAGAGAATCCTCCTTATCTTCTTCCTCAATATTATGCAACACCCACTCAGTGCTAGGCTTGTAACCTGATGCCCTTGCCTGTGACACCATCTCCTCCAACTTTTCATATATTTCTCTAGATTGCGGATGAGATTGATCACCAGCAACAAACTGGTGTGATTTTCCCCCAATCTCGATGCAGCTCCATCCTGGCGATTTCTCAACACAACAACTCTTCATATCAATTCTAACCCTCTCAGCGTCTTCCCATCGTCCAGATCCAGCATACACATTAGAAAGAAACACATAACCACCAGAATGTATTGGTTTAAGCTTTAAAAGCTTCTTAGTAGCCAATTCTGCTAGCTCGACGTTGTTATGAGCTTGACAGGCATTAAATAGAGCACCCCATAGAACAAAGTCAGGTTCAATAGGCATTGAATTTAACAGATCAAGGGCTTCATTAAACCTCCCAGCTCTCCCAAGCAAGTTCAAAACGCTGGTATAATGTTTCACAGTCGGCTCAGTCTTGTACTCATGTCTCATACTATCAAAGATCTTGAGCCCAAGCTCAACTTTACCCGAATGCTGACAAGCCACTAACGCAGCAAGAAAAGCTCCATCATCAGGCTCAGCAATAGAACACTTCATGTCCTCAAAGCATCGAAGAGCTTCTTGCCATCGACCATGAATCCCCCACCCATTAATCATCGCTGTATAAGCCAGTACATCCCGATCCTTCATTTCATCAAACACCCTACCCGCATTTTCAATCTTTCCACACTTTGAGTACATATCCACCAGAGCGGTCCCAATCGCCCCGTTCACCCGAAACCCGCTTCTAGAAACATAGTCATGAATCCGAATCCCGGCCTCAACGGCCCCTATCTTGGCGCAAGCCGCGAGTGCCGAGCACAAAGTGTAGCTATTCGGCCTCACACCGCCCTCCATCATCCTACCAAACATGTCCAGCGCCCTCTTCGCATCGCCATTATGCAGAAAACCCACAACCACCGTCGTCCAAGAAACCACATCCCTCCCCGTCATCTCCTCAAAAACCCTGACCGCCGACTCCACATCCCCTCTCTTCACATACCCGTCAATCAAGCAGTTCCAAGTCGACACCTTTCTGTCAGGCATTTCATCAAACAACTTGCGAGCGAGCTCCACGTCACCCAGTTCACACGACCCCTTGATGGCCACATTCCATAGGATCGTATTC